TCTTCTTTTTTTCCCTATTCTGCCAGTACCGAAAAGGTTGTAAAATGGTTCATATGGTTACTTCACACATTCTCAAATGTTCATTATTGTTAACAATTTACGTTTTAAGTCTACAGTTCACACTCGAAATGATACTTGTCAGACTGGTTATCGACTGTTTTATGACATTTTTTGCAATTAAATCCTGGTTACGTTTGATGGAATTATTTAATTAGAACATAATTTGTTGTGTATTGAACTTAATAATCGTGTCCGCATGCCCATTGTCCTTTTATCTCAATAATCACCAGCGGTTGATAGCCGTAGTTTTCTCTAGCGAAAAACAATTCCTCTGCTGATTGCCACTCTTGATTATTGAATGATTATGATGAAATAACTTTGAGCAGTCGATCACAGAGACGGTGCTTAATAACGACACTCCTACTAGGAAAGCTCTAAATGTTTTACCACCCGTTCCAATCATAGTTGCTTTTTGTTTATTATCTTGAATAATAACTCTACAGTGACGGCAATTTTGCATTTATGAGTCCACCTGATATATCTCATAGTCAATTTATTATATATATATAAATATGTCGAGTTGGAGTTTTGGTTAAAGTATTAATAATGTGTACAATGTCAAGGTAGTTCTAAGTACAGGTGGACGTTATGAAGTGTGAGAAATTCGTTGGATACAAGACAAAAGGAATGGAACGTTAAGATCAGTTTGTATGTCTACATGTGCCTATAAAGCACGTGAAACCTTACTACCATTTCTAATTAATTGCGCTATAACTCAGGATGATAACTGGAAATTTTAATTTTCATTGCTTTAAAAAGGTAATAGAGACTTTTTTTATCTGGTTTGTTTCCGAAGATTCTCGAAAAGCTACTCAAAGTATACGTTTGCTAGCTAGTCCTAATTTTGAGCTGATAGACTATAGAGAAGGCAGCTAGTCAACAGGACCCACCATGAAATCTTGAGCTACTACTCTTGTCTGACCGAATAGTATGGTAATTTACCATCTCCCTTGTAATGTACCCAAGTGCGAAATGATACTTTTGTGGAGGTAATGGGACCCGAGCATAGACATACATTTGGACACACTCACTTTAATAAGGAAACATAAGTAGTGAAGCAGTATCTATCTCAGACCTTATTGTTCGTTGGTTGGTTTTATTGAATTTCGCGCAAACATACTCCACGATTGTCTGTAATAGCTGTCCTTAGTTTAGAAGTTATAGACTGTCAGGTCTCTACAGCTTGAACACAAATGAAACGAAGCTCCTAAGTCGAACTACGTTAGTGACATAAACACATTCTGAAAGCACCTGTTTCATATCATCAGCTGTTATAGTATAACGAACGACTTCTGTTATACGTACCTTAAACTATAAAGGTGTGACCATGTTTTTTTTTGTCTCTATAGCTTTACTGTTTTTCGTTTACGACGTTTCGGAAAGGCCTAAGTCATTAGAAATACCTGTATAAGTAAAGGCGAATAAGCTTCTTATGACTGCCTTTATTTCATCCTATTGTTACGTTACGTTTTTTATTTTAATAAATTATGTTTAATGAATATATTTCATTAATGTTTGGTCTTACAAGTACTGCTGTGTTACTTCTGAATTTGATTTATGTCGTTTAATTGATAAGTTCTTTGTGGTTTTGGTGTTAGATATATTCCACAGTTATCTTGGTATTCATTCTTAAGATTATGTATACAACGAAAGATTCATTCTGGTACTCTAACAAAACACTTCCGATGTTCTTAAAAAAGAAAAGAACATCAAAAACAAATTATCCATGAGTTGTGACGTACAGCTAATATATATATATATATATAAACTGTGATCATCTTGCTAATCCAGATTGAACAACATAAAATTAGGTATATTTTAGTGGTTCTGGAAGCTTTAATTATATTGCAAACCCAGACTGAACAACTTAAAAGAAGGAATATCTATGTTTATGAACATATGAACCATTTTACAACATTTTCGGTACTGGCAAAATAAGGAAAAAGAAGAAGAAAAACTGGACACTACTTGTCTTACTCCATCAATACAGTTTGTGATATAGGGAACGTTCTTGTCACATGAAAATGATCTCTGATTCTTCTAGAAGGGTAAATAACATTCACAGTGTACCTGATCGTTGTTGTTAATCAAATATTTCCCATAATGCTAGATTTCAACAAAACATTTCCCCATTTCTACAGCAGTCTCGCATTGCCAAACTTAATCCTAAGGAGCTTGACGCCAACTTAAGTAGTCTTAATAATTTTGAAATAAATTTGATAATCGCATACGCCAGCATTATCACGTTCTATATATATACATGTTTATCTTACATACTTACTCACGGACTAATGAATTACTACCAAACATGATACCTTCAAACGTCTTTAGAGTCCATTCATGTCAAATCTAAGCTATTATTACTGTGAGGTTCAACCTGATAGAAGGTTTGATGTGTAAATCTAAATAAAGATTCCATTCACTGTACAAAGTTCACGAACTCTTAACCTTACCAAAGCTCATGTATTCCAAATCATATCTTCATTTTCGACGTATTCGATTCCAAATTTTTATCACAGATCCAATACTGTAACTTTTATTGATGATTTTAGACACGTAGAGTGCATGAAAATAAAGCAAAGGTTACAATAACATACTTCAATACTTGGCATACAAAACACATGTAACACAGTACAAAGTAAATTTTCTCCTGTGCGTCTAATATAAACATCACAATCTTAACAACAAAGTGTAGGAGAGAGAATCACATTAAAGGTGGTTCTAATTCTCTCTCTCACACACAACAGCAACAAGTATATTGGCCAAATATCATTTTTGTTTTTTTTAAATCTTAGTATTTCGAAATATGATTTTAACTAAAAAAAACAGATAAATAAACGCAGACCTGATAGACCTTATTATTAAGAATTCGTTTAATACTGGTTTTATTTTTGGTGAGTAAAAGGTCGGTACATCTTATTTTAATTTTTTTATTTTTGTCTTCTAACTTTGTGACATGACACTATATATGATTTAATTATTAACATTAAGGAAACTAGATTATGTATAAATGTTCACTTTTTTATTCACTCAGTTATTGTATAGATTTATAAAACAAAACAACAACACATCAGGAAAGCTTTATTAGAAATACTTTCTTTAATTTTCTTTTTCGCATCTTCGAAATCAAAGAGAGTCTTTATAATATCAGTCTCTGTTTCTAAGAGGTGGAGAATATTTTAAACTATCAGAATTAATGATTATGTCTTGTGGCAATTAACCACAATGTTAAGACTATTTGAAGAAACAGTGCGTTTTTTTTACCATTTTTGTTGTTGAATTATTATATTACTTGCTTAGTAGGTTATTTACTTAATCATCATAAATAAAAGTAGTTTAACGAACTTTGTACAGTTTGTGTATTGTTTTAAAATATAAAGATGAGCTGACATGATTTTATACAAACGGAAATATAACATAAACATGACTTAAGTTTAATACTGTTCTCTTATGACAAATATAATTGATTATATTCACTCTATGTCAACAAAGACGTTCACACCCTAACAAAATTAAAGTTTGTTATTATCAAACAAATAAACGCCAGTATAATATGACAATGTAGATTTATAAAATCTATGTATATATGCAGGCGAATGTAATTGCTTAAACTTTATCCTGAAAGTCATAAGTATTGATTTTACTACCATAATCATGAATGCCATAAATTTGAAAACTGACTTATTGTTAATGAGCACTACACACTCCGGTTATTGCCTCGGTGTCTTTTTTGAGATAGATGAGTTTTATATGACAGTTAAGATTATATACAGAAGCGAAAATATTATTGTTATATGCTTCAGATCGAATAAGCCATTTTTTTCCCGATATTTTCCACTTTCGTATCTTGACAGCCATCTCTCGGCACAGAAACATACTACGGTTATAAACACACGGTTTTAACCAAACTTAATTTATTTTAGAGAATAAGCAAAGGAAGTAACTTATACACAAGATGGGGAAAAGAAAACGAAATAAAAATTACTTAAGGTGAAACTAGGTTATAAAACGAAGTGATCGCTGATTAATTTTAATAGCTTTTTTTTACGTTTCCAAACAATTAAGTTTAGGAATCATAATAAATACAAATTAAGTCATTTTTAGAGTTTTAGACTTTGTAAATATGGCTTCCCGGATACTAATCTCAACTTGAATATAAGTTACATGATTAGAAATATAAGAATGAATTAAAAATGATACTGTTTGAGTAAAATAAACCTATTACTATTCATATCACTAGATGGCAGTGATTACGTTGTTTGAATGACTATAATCGATAAAAAGAACTATATATAGAATTTTAAAGTAATTAATTTTTTATTATAAAATGATTACACAAAGATCAGAAAGTACAATGTCATGTTTATTTACTAAGAATACGTACAAAAAGTCGATTAGAACATACAATTTTTTAAAATTATATCCCATTAAAACTAAAAAATCAGTATATAAATAGAAAAACTAAATTTTGCTAATGAATTATTTATTAGTTTGCAAATAAAATTTTAATTTCTCACATTAAATGAATGGATTCATTCATACACTGTAGCTTAAGAGATGAAGCTTGCTGAGAAAATTTAAATATTAAGAAACATTTTGACCACACTTAAAGTGGGAGTAAAAAATGCTTTCTTAAATTTCCCAATGTTAATTTTTTTGTATACTCATATTAATATTGTGTCTATGGGACTTGTTTTTATTTATTCATAAACCTTTCAACAGATGGCACTACGGCACACAGACCTAATAGTAATCAATTTTTATGCACCGTTTGGTTAAGAAATTTGAAGTACTTATGTATTAAAAGGTTTAACTCAGACCGTAAAATAGTAAAACATTATTTAAACAGTTAAACGTAATTATATAATTTTTTGTTCTAATAGAACACTATATCTTAAAATTAGTGTTTTTAATTTTAATTTAGATTAAGAAATCATTCTTTATTCCTTGACCATCTTGGCATGGAGTTTTGAAGTAAACTTAATTTTGATTGGCTGATCTGCACGAAGCACCATTTGGGCTACAAGATTTATCGTGTCACGTGGCTGGGGAGATTTGACTCGAAAGTGGCGTAATAAGTTTGCAATTACAATTTTTTCTTCAATCATAGCAAATTTCTGACCTGAAAAACATAATATATGGTAATAATTAGGAAGAATAAAACAAAAGCAACAACAAACCATATTTTAGACCACCATCTACGTTTGGTTAATGCAGTTCGATGTCCATCAGACTAACTTAATTAAAATGCCCTCCAATGGCTCAGGAAGTTAGTGGCCTTTATAATACTACATTTCGGGGTCCAATACCCGTGGTGAGCACAGAGAAGATAGCCTATTGTGTAGCCCCCCCCCCCCACACACACAGTGGCACAGCGGTATGTCTGCGGACTTACAACGCTAGAAACCGGGTTTCAATACCCGTGGTGGGCAGAGCACAGATAGCCTTTGCGTAACTTTATGCTTAAGTACAAACAAACAAACAAACGTTTTGTGTAGTTTGCGCTTAAACAGAAAAGAAACACAGATAGTATTATTCAAAGTAATAGATAAGCCAAGAATGTCATTTAAGCTTTAATCATTGTCAGTTAGTGTTAAGTTTATGAAGTTGATACAAGATTTATTTATAGCTAACTGGAAACAGCACCAAGTTAACAGCTGTTGTGTGAAGTGAAACGTGTTGGTTTCATTTTCTTTATCATAGGATCCGTTGTGAAAATAAACATTTGTATCTATTAATCTAAAAATGTATTTTAACCATAATAAAAATTATGTTTATTCATGCTCTACTTTCATGACAATTTCAATAACTTCAAGAATAATTCACGGAGTATTCGATAGATGGCACAGAATGTTGGCAGAAAGAAATTTGGCTGGATTGATAGAAACTGAAGTGCTTCGAATTGTTATTTCTAGTTCCCCAAGATAATAGCACAAACATAATATCAATACATGTTATCCGCTTTTATGTGTTTGTGGTAACTTTTAATTTGTTTAAATTGTATCAATTACATATATGACAAAAAAAGAGAGTTCTATGTAAGTTTTTGGTATTCTGTATTGTTTTAATTTGAATTTTACTTATTTAAAATGTCCATATTAGATCAGACATCATTCATACTTAATTATTTCATCTGGAAATATTGTATGTAAAGAGCATAATTTGGTATTATATTCTATATTTTATATTTCACGCATTGTTTAACACCAGAGATACACACAGACACAAACACAGGTTTCTAACTTTCCACAGTACCTGGGTGGTGACTTACAGAGGACTCTGCCAAGCTTAAATATACACTCTATTGATTATAAAGAGTAAGTTTGGATTACTATACTATCGATTATGAAGAGTAAGTTTGCATTACTAACAAGTTTATTATAATTATTATTACTGTTTTCGGAAGACAGCTTCTCAAGTACGCTAAAGGTAGGGTTTGACACTATCTGTTTAATAGTTTAATTCTTGCTACAGGATATTTGGAGAAATGGTACAAATAAAATTACTACACTATTGAGAAGTAAGTAGTTCTTTACATCGCCTTATGATGTACAGCAGAAAAGTCCTATAGTATGAGAAAGTGCAGTCATTCACAAAACAATTATAAAACTTCTCTTGTACTTAATAGTCTTTGAGAAAGACTCCACTTAAAAACCGAAATGTTACAAGTAAAGATACAAGTGTTTCAAGTGCTAAAAGGTTAAGTTAAAAGTGTTAAAAAGTTAAGTTACAAGTGCTAAATGATTAAGGTACAAGTGTTTCAAGGGCTAAAAGGTTAAGTTAAAAGTGTTAAAAGGTTAAGTTACAAGTGCTAAATGATTAAGGTACAAGTGTTTCAAGGGCTAAAAGGTTAAATTACAACTGTTACAAGAGGAATAATTTTTGTGGTTCATAGTTTCTATTGAGTGTGTTACATTTTTTTATTGATTTAGTATTTCACGTAATACATTATTTTACCTATGCAATTCCTTGGCCCAGCGGAAAATGGAATAAACGAAAAAGGATGACGTCCGAGTGAATTTTCTGGTAAAAATCGATCTGGATCAAATTTTTCTGGATTTTGAAAAACTTCTGGATCTCTATGAAGCATGTAAATGAATATAACACAAGTGGAGCCAACAGGAATAGTCTTTCCATCTGAGAAAATAATGAAACAAAAAACATCAATGAGATATAGTCATAATCATATATGTGTGTATACTGGCTATTCTATGGGCTTATTTTGATGCTTTTCTTGGCTTCGAGATAAAGTTTCGAGCTCTCTGCTGTTTCTTGGTGAAACACTAACTCTGTCTTGAGAGAGTTTCCACTTTAAAATAATTATCATTAATCGTAAAGACAGATGATATGAAACAACTGAGAAACAAAGAAACTATACGTATATTAATCATGACGTTGATAGTGAAGGTTTTATTAAAACGTGCCTTGCTGAAGACGCGCTCAGAAGACTGAATTTATAATTTTCGTGACGTAATGCGTTACATAGATGCTGATAATTTAACGCAAGGAATCGAAGTTTGTAGCGATAATTGTATTTTGTTTTGGAGTATCTGTGGGTCTGGTGTTTAGGATACTAGACTGACAATCTGTTTGTCACGGATTCAAATCCAGTCACCGAGCATGTTCGCCCTTTTAGCCGTGGAGGCGTTATAATGTCACGGTCAGTCCTGCTTTTCGTTTGTAAAAGATTAATCCAAGAGATGGCAGTGGGCGGTGTTTATTTCTTGCTTTCTCTCTCTAGTTTATCACTTCAAAATTAGAAACGACTAGCGCGATAGACTTCGAGTAGCTTTTCGCGAAATCCAACAAAACAAACAAATAAACAATGTACCAAAATCTATGTTTGGCTCTGAGACAATATTATGTCATTTTGACATTGTATTATCTGCTTATTAGACAACATTACTTCGCTTTCAAACTGTACTATCTGACCATAAAAAACAATATCTTCCCTAGATATTGTATTATCTGTCTACGAGACAGTAGCACATAGTTACGAAACTGTGCTCTCTGGTACGAGACTATAGTGTAACTTGGCTATAAACTTGTAATATCAGACTCTAGTTATTTCATTTTGTGTAGTAGGTAAAGAAGGAATGAGATCCAGCCCCGTATATGTGTTTCGCGAGCTTGAGATATATGGAGATGGTGCTAACCAGATCCTTCCCAAAATACTTTCCTGTTCAATTTTGGCAGTGAAGTGAGCATGTAGTCTCGTATCTATAGCACACGACATTCATAATCTCGTCCTTAAGGATGTACAGATCAGTATATCTATCTTATCAGATACCTATTCACAACATTACACCATTCCTAATGCCGTACAGATCAGTATATCTATCTTATCAGATACCTATTCACAACATTACACCATTCCTAATGCCGTACAGATCAGTATATCTATCTTATCAGATACCTATTCACAACATTACACCATTCCCAATGCCGTACAGATCAGTATATCTATCTTATCAGATACCTATTCACAACATTACATCATTCCTAATGCCGTACAGATCAGTATATCTATCTTATCAGATACCTATTCACAACATTACACTAGTCCTAATGCCGTACGAGTATACCATTTCTAACGATGTATAGATCAATATGTCTGTCGTAGCAGATACCTACTTATACTACTAGTACACCATTTCTAGCGATGTACAGGTCATTTATCGTATCAACTGTATTATCATAACATTAAGGATTAGCTCCGAGTCTTCAAATGTTCATCTGTAGTGGAGATTGCCCAAAGCGCTCATCGAATTCTCTCTTGACTTTCATGATATTTGTTGTCATATATGCACGTTGAGTTACTGTGCGGCATACTATGAGAACAACAGTTAATGGACCGTTTACTTAAGCTCACTGTTAGAACAACACTTAATGAACCACTCATGTAAGTTCTTTGTGAGAACAAACCTTAATGGAACATTCACTTAAGCTCCCTCTGAGAACAGCACTTAATGGAACGCTCATTTAAACTCATTTTGAGAACAATACTTAATGGACCGCTCATAATAATTCTCTGTGAGAACAAATCTTAATGGATCATTCAATTAAACTCCCTCTGAAAGCAACACTTAATGGATCATTCAATTAAACTCCCTTTGAAAGCAACACTTAATGGACCACTTACTTAAGCTAATCATGAGAAATATACTTAATGGATCATTCAATTAAACTCCCTTTGAAAGCAACACTTAATGGACCACTTACTTAAGCTAATCATGAGAAATATACTTAATGGACCGTTCATTTAAGTTTACTGTGAGAAAAGTATTTAATGGACCATTCACTTTTGCTCACTTTGAGCGTTCCTAAGCAATTTTGATCATATTTAATTTACGATCTTAGTAAGACGGCTACGCCAGAGAACTATTGTGTTCAATGATGACATTAAAGACCGCAGTATTTTAGCCATTATAAGTGGTGGTAAGACTCAATGAAGGCATTTCATTAATAATAGAAACTATTTTTCATAGCAAAAAGTGAATCGTACCACATTAATAAATGTTCCATAATTGACAGTAGAACATTACTATCAACCATCTTCAATAGTTTATAAATGTACCATTACTGGCGGTAGAACATTACTTTCCATTATGTTGAATAGTTTAATAAATATGCCGTTATTGGTGGTAGAATATTACTATCAACCATTTTGAATAGTTTAATAAATGTGCCGTTCTTGGCGGTAGAATATTACTATCAACCATTTTGAATAGTTTAATAAATGTGCCGTTCTTGGAGGGGGGGGGATATCACTCTCCACCATTTGGAATAGTTCAAACTATTAAAGATGGTGGAGTGTAATGTTCTACCGTCAATAGGGTGACATTTTAAAGTCCCGCCCTATGTCATTATCACAAATGTACATTTGTGAATTTATTTAATGCGGTCTGTTTGTATGCAAAAGGAAGGCTAGTTTCAAGAAAAATTTGGACATGTACATTTGTGATAACGACACACGACAGACCTTAATGTGACCATAAAGCACTGCCGTACAAAAGTAGTATTTAATTCAAACCAGCTTCCATGGTTATGAATCTATACGTTATCCAATTACACGTGTATTTTATCTGTTACGCAACTTTATTATATGACTATTAGCACGTAAAGTAATTCTTAGTTTCATAATTTTATACATCTCGAAAAATAACTGTAGTATCTGATTATAAGTGTATATTATCTGGCGAGAAACTGTATTATCTATCTACAAATTATAATATCTGATACAGGACTGGAACATACAACTGTGAGACCAATTATTTGGCTATAAGCTGTTATATTGCATTATTTGATAAGAGACTGTGGCATCTGATAAAGAAACTGCAGTATCTGGTTATGAGACTGTAAAGTTTGTCTACGAAAATGTGGTGCTTGAAGACGAGACTGTAATATCTTTAATATCTGGAAACGGCAACCTTATTTGATTACTAGACAACTAGTATGTAACAAATAACTGCATTTTCTAACTACGAGACTGCACAGCGGTATGTCTGCGGACTTACAACGCTAGAAACCGGGTTTCAATCCTCATGGTAGGCAGAGCACAGAAAGCCCATTGTGTAGCTTTGTACTTAAACGACAAACAAACAAACTATACAGTATACAATATACAATATATATAAAGTAACCAAGAGATTGTTATTTTCGTCAGACTTGAGAATAAATAACGCTATACTCTTAAATGTGGACACCAAAAAGCAAAAAGACCTGCTATTCTTACTCTTATGAGTGGTGTAGTGAAATCTAGCGGTTAACTTACTTGGACAGTGAATCAGAAGATTCATGGTTCGTGTCCTGTTGCCATGGGTGTGTTATAAGAGCGACGATTAAATATCGCTATTCCATTAGGTAAGGTTAGCCTAAGAGTTAGTTGTTGGTGCTGTTAATTAGTTGCATTTCCATTAGGCAAGATTAGCCTAAAAGTCGATTGATGGTGCTTTTAATTAGCTGCATTTCTTATCAATTTAAATAGCTCTTGTGTAGCTTTACGCTAAGTTTCTTAACAATCAAAATATATAAAGGTTGTC